CTCATATGCAACATCAATATTAGCTCTCGGAAACAATCTGCACATCCGCAACCTCGGCCTGCCCTACATGTTCTTGGTTCCCTATGCTCTCAGCACGTTACTGACTTTTTACTCATTTTGTCAGTGCTGATGCAAGTGATTTGTGCAACCATAATCCGTACTTTTTCTTTTTTTAAAGAACAACTTAGGAAATATTAAATAATGTACTGACAATTTAGTTTTGTACATAATTTTACAAAGGAAATTAATCATAGTACTTACTTAGAAAATACCAAGTATATTGTTGCTTAAACGAATACGCAATAAGTGAGAAAAAAGTCAGTAATGTGCTGAGAATGTAGCCTTCACATGCCTCTGTACCACAATGTAAAATTCAATATAATGTTGACCATGAGTGCGAAATACCCTCCCCCACAGCCACCTTATTCATCAGTAATAAACTGCCCTACCCTACTCATCCATTTCATATTTTGAGAGGTTCTGGCTGTGTGTTTTCGTTTTCTAAGGCCGAGCGCACCCTGGACCTCGTACACCAAGTTATAAACCTCGTAGAATTCGAGGAAGCAGTAGCTCAAGAGGTAATTCACCTGAGTCTGTATTTGGAAATCCGTTGTCCAGTGCTGTCCACCTATAACCATAGAGATCATTGGTGCTTTATCTATCTCCTGTATGTAGCATAATGCTAGCATGTAATGCTTGCTAGCATTTCCGGATTCAAAGGAAGTCCTTGTATCTGTTTGGATTACACTTTCTCAATTGTTCTTTTTCTTCTCTCCAAACAAGGAATTAAAGTTTATGTCTTAACCGATTGAATGTGTCACAGAGAGCGATATAATTTATTGAAAAAAATTTACTAAGGTGCACTTTATTTTTCCCCATGCGGCACATAATTTGTATCAATTCTTTTCTTTGTCTGTTTTAGTTGCATTTGTTTGCAAACCATCTGGCTCAACGACCAGTGAAAGTGAGGCTGCTCGGTTTCATTAACCTGGAACTACCACTGATACTCACGGTATGCAAGGAACTCAGGCAGACACACACCCTTGTTTTCAATGAGCACAACCATCGTGAATCGTGCTTATGCAGAGGCACACAGATCAGGGCAAAAGCCCCTTCAAGACACAAAATTCCTTTTTGCCAGTTTCAAGGTCCAACTGAGGAAAAGTACAGTTCTGAAATACTAGATCCCCAGCGTCAAAATTTGTGAAAGATACGTAGTACTGCACAGTTACTCTACAAATCCAAAAGCGTACATTGTATGCTCTACCTGGAGCATGCCTGCAAGCACGCTCTAGCTAGCGCATGCCTGCCAAGCATGCACTTGCTAGTGTATACATGCCAAGTACACGCTTACTGAAGCATGCATCTAGTGCGCAAGGGATAGGGAGTTGTCTACATCAGGAAGCGTGTACATGGCATGTATGCACTAGCAAGTGCATGCTTGGCAGGCATGCGCTAGCTAGAGCGTGCTTGCAGGCACGCTCCAGGTAGAGCGTTCAAAAACAAAAACAGCAACAAACTGTGGTAAGATACAGGACCCAACACGTGGACATTGTTTTTTTTGTTTTTTTTTAACTTTCACTGTCAGAGGAGACTTTTAGGAGGTAAAATTGGTCGTCGGTCGTATTATGGGGTTTGGTATTGATTGCTCTGTATTTGTCTTCATTCAGGCAGGCGGTCTAATCGCGAGCTACCTCATCATCTGTCTGCAGTATCAGAGCGCCAAGGGAAAAAAGCAGTGACGCGCATATGATATTCCCACCGAATTAAAACTATTTCTTGGCAATAAATTCAAGTTTTTGTTAAGTTCTCCTGCGTGCCAGTTCAACTTGGGATACAAATCAGCAATCTCAGCCCGTCCTAGCTTACATGGTTGTACCTCAGATGCCTCTCTTCATCTTTTTTTTATTTTATTAAAAAAAAAAAAAAACCGGAACCAGTTGCTAATACATAAATGTTGTGGCACTAGCCTTTTACATAATACATGATTAAAGTTAGTCCAAAATCGTGAAGTTAGAACACCTGCGTGTCTCCTTCTCTGACACCCTTGAGTCAGTGAACATGTTGGATTGTGTACCTCTTTTTCACGTCACACAAAAATTCACAGGTCAATTTTATCTGCTTAAACACACGTCGCAGTGCGAAACAGACAGACGTTAGCTCACAGGACAAAGAAACTAAATTGAAAGTGAAAAGGGGGAAAGGAACCGGAGGAGAAAGGGTTTGAAGTTTTTAATTAATTCAACAAAAAAACAGAACGTGCTCAGACGAAGTGTCAGAAACCTTAACATAGCGCTGGAGAACTTACGGAGTGCAAAATCTTGAAAAGGCTCGCAAAAGTTAGATTGTCCTGGACATTCATCATGAAGCACCCCTTAGATTCTTTCTGAGATCCTTCTGAAGGGTGTATCTTCTCTATGCGTGCTCACCTTTTCTTTACTTAGCCTTGTCGTGGTTGGTATCACAGACCCGCAGACCGGTTCACACAGGTCAGCGCCTCTGTGATGCTCAGTAGCACGGCCGAGCTAGGTGGCGCTCTATCTGAGTGCGTGCCTAGGCAGTAAACAATCTACTGCGTCGCGCCGACTAAGCCGCCAGCCAACTGTCGCGACTGGCGGATGGGCTGCCTACTAATCAGGCGTTGGCCGGCAGTGCTAGGCGATTGAGCGATAGGCCCCGGATAAATGACCGGAGGCGTACCTCTGATTAGAAGAGGCTTGTAGATTGAGCACGTGCACCCCCTCGGCGAGGTGCCGCTCTGGAGCGGCACAAGTCAGTATTCAGCCAACATCGAGACGAGACAGACCTAGACCTCCTCGCGAATACTCCGTCGTGAAAGTGACTAGTGTGTTAGAGTGATCACCGATTGACTCCCTCTTGTTGTCATTTCATCCCTTGCGAACCCGTAGAACACGTGAGGTTTGACCGAGACGCGAGTGACCAGTGAAGTGACAGTGAAACAGTGCGAGTACCCGTTAACCCGGAATAGTTCACAGACCGTCTGGGTTACGCCCCCGGCGATACCCCGCGAGCAAGACAAGTGTGTGAACTGGCGTGCCGCTCGTGACGCGCACTGGGAACCGGTAGATACCCGTGTCGAGCTAAGACACTACTTCACGCGTCGATACCCCGACGCGCCCAGTCGGTTACGCTGACGCGGGCCTTTTGGGCCCAAACACCAACGTAGAGTCAGCGGCTGGGTTGACCTCGCAGACCCGATCAACAACCTCGTGATATTGGGCCACACTGCCAAACACATTTTAGAAACGAAAAAAAAAGTATTGTTTTTAATTAGTGAGGTGTCAATGGCCCTATTGCCACATTGCCGATAAGACAGAAACGCGCATGATATGCCTCTGCCATCAAGTGCCATCCATGGATAGAAGTCGAAGAAAAAGGCAGCCTAGCACCTTCGGAGAATCGCTGAAAACTCTAAGGTAACAAATGAAACCATTTTGAGCGTCAGAAATATAATATAATTCTCCCCTCTGTGTGGCGCTGAGGATCAACATTCGACCAAAATTCTCGCATGTGTAGCGCTGCGAATCGAAATTTTCACATCGTTAGCGGTGAGAGTGAGAATTCTGGCCATCAAGTGGTACACGCGTAAAACCTTACAAAGTATTTTGAGCACACACAATACAAACTAATTTGCTTTGTTATACGAAGAAATAGTTCGTAAATTGTAAGCCTATGTATATGTTCGAAATACATTGTTATACAAACTGATTTCCTCTGTGGGGCCTAAAATAGTTTGTGAGGTTTTCTCAGTGTGAGAATGCTCTCCCACTTCATTCATCACGGCAGGTTAGAAGTACGATTCATGCCATCATTTGGTGAGAACTTGGTCACCACAAGAAGAATATTTCTCACAAAATTTCGCAATTATTCTCAGTGTGCACGTGTGCACATAAATATGCGTAAAAATGCATAAATTTATGCAAATTTTATGCACAACGTTACACAAGTTTGAAATCGTGCAATAGCTCGGACAAAATTGTACCTTGACATTTAAAGTCCACATTACCCTACCACTGTCAACTTGAGAGACGTCAGGCGGAACGGGCCCTGGAGTCTAAAGTTATGATGAAAAGAGCAGCGAGATAGCAGTGCTATATGTTGTCATATCCTAACTTAAACATCGTAAATGTTCACACAAGGTCAACGAAATCAACGGCGGTCAAATCGAGGGGTAAATCACTCAGCGTTCTGGTGTACACATGAGTACAAGAGTACGGGTGAGTACACCTTGCTTTACTCATAAATTTCACAATTTTAAACGTTTTAAGGCTCTATTTAGCGTTTTTAACGACACTCAACGTTGAATCGGTCGAAAAACTAGAGAATTTCGCCCTTTTAAAACTTGTGAGTACACCGAGTACGGTCAAATTTGTACACATGAGTACACTAGTGATTCACCCCTCGGGTCAAATGGGAAGCTAGGATGTTGACCAGGACAAAAACCTCGTCAAAAGCTATCATATTAAGGACAAACTTCATAGATCATTTTTTGCTGTTCCCATATGGGCGTGACGTTTTGGTGACGCCCTTGTAAGGAAAATTAGCCTTGAAATTGTCATCAAGTGACGACTAAAATTTTCACAGTGTGGACCGCCGTTGGCAAACAAAGCCCACACGGCAAAAACGATTTCAGCCCGTGGGTTTGCCAGGCCCACCCTAGTAAAATAGACCTAATTTTTCCAGATTCCTAGGAAACCCGGACACTGTTTTACCCGCGCAGTTAAACTGCCTGCTGGGCGAATCACAGCAGATGCGTTTTTTGGTCATATCTCGTAAATCGTTTAAGTAAAGTGAGTATCGTAAGCTAGCCGATAGTAGTTTTAGCAAAGATCTATAATCGGCTCGCTAACTGTACCCGTCACGGTTATAAAATATGATCGAGAAAAAAGAACACCTACTGCGCGTCGTCCGGTGTGGAGGATACCTTTGATTTGTTTGGCTCCCGTTGCCAGGCAACGGCGGTCCATGGAAGGGGGCGTGGAAGCGGCAACATAAGTCAGCATCGAAGTTTCGGCTGCTGTCAGCTTGTACAGTCACGGCATAGAATAGCGCTCCCGGTGGAGGGGCCATGGCCTTGGTTGCGGCCTGCCTAGTGCTCAGTCGCCTGCCGTCATCCCAACGAACAGCTTCCATTCTCCACTGTGGCAAAAAGGTACGGAATATTCTGTTATTTTTTTTTGCCAGGATTCTCCGTAGCCCTCTTATCAATATTCTCCGTAGGCTCTTACAGTATTCTCCGTAGGGCCGTACAGTATTCTCTGTAAGTCCGCACAGTCTTCTCCGTAGGACCTGGAAGACTGCATGTAGTCCTATGGAGATCACTGTAAGGTCCTACGGAGAATACTGTGCGGTCCTACGGAAAATACTGTAATAGCCTACGGAGAATATTGATAAGGGGGCTAGGGAGAATTACCACAAGCTGTTTACAGAATTTTCCGTAGCTTTTTGCCACAGTGTCACTTTGAGTTGAGTTGTGTCCCGAGCAGTCTTCTGCCCGGAACTCACCTATTTACGGAAAAAGGTTCTGTATCCGAGAGCATGTGTGTCACATTGATGAAACGCTCTCAGATACTCCGAGAGCATCTCTCGATGTGAGAGAAAGGTCTCAGGTCCAGAAATACTGTTTTTCGGTGTAGTTGATTTTGTGTTGTGTGTACAGTCTGCTCCACCATGGTCCTCACTGTGTACGGCCACCAGATCAGCCCGCCGGTACGTTCCGTCCTTTTGACGTGCAAGGCTTTGGGCATCGAGTACAAGTTCCAGTTGGTCGACTTGATGAGCGGAGAGCATAAGAAGCCGGATTTGATGAAGGTCAGTAACTTTAAACAATCGGCAATTTTGTTCATTGACCACGCTGGTGTGTTCAAAAGATTTTAAGCCTTTTGCCTGAGGTTACCATGCAAAAAGAAACCTTCATTTGGTTTTCCTGCCTCCATACGGCCATTAAGGCGTAAGGGGAACAGAGATAAGTCCCCTTCCCACTTCTCCCACCAATTGTCTTCGTTCAGAAAACGTTATTGGCAGAAAAATTGATTGTTAGACATTAAATTGAAATAGTAGACCATGGCAATAGCGTGTCTTTGTCTCCATTGTTATTTAACAAACGAATAGTGATGTCACATTCGTCACAATGTGAGTTAATTTTGTCACGTTCCTGAATATATGACACATAGTTTAAACCAATATGTGGCACCCGCATCAGATGGCCGTGTCACGTTCAAACAAATGTGACACCGTATTAAAAAAAAACGTGACAAAATCCACATTTTAACGAATGTGACGTCACAATCGTTGAATAACAGTATATATAATTCTTTAGCTGCACGTTACCATGTGTCGAATTAATGCTTCCAACTGAAATTTAATTTTTATTTGCTTGCAGATAAATCCAGAGGGCACTGTACCTTTCATTCAGGATGGAGATTTCTTCCTTTCGGAAAGGTGACTTAAAACTGAGATTTGACTAAAGGGTATTCACTGGGCTGTGCTGGTCCAGTTGTTCTGATGGCGTGCTTGTTGCAGCCACGCCATCCTGACGTACCTCGGCGACAAGGCTGGCAACGACAGCTGGTACCCAAAGGACATCAAGCAGAGAGCCACCATCCAACATCGCCTGCACTTTGACAACATGATGTTGTTTGGGAGGCACAAGGACATCGTGGTAAGTCCTACCGACCGTCCAAACCTCTGACGCTTGTCAGGAGCACAGGTGAGTCGGTAATGAGTCCGCAGCAAGCACGACACAAACGACGGCCTCGCTTTCCAGAAACCGATCTTCACAGAAAATGCAAAGGAGATGCCACCGGCGAAGGTCCAGAGTTTGCAAGATTCTCTGGACCTGATGGAGGGCATGATCCACGAGGGAGGCTGGCTCGCCGGAAGTAAACCTACCATTGCAGACTGCTGCTGCGCGACCAGTGTTTTCCACCTCGTAGTAAGTGCATCAGTCCTTTCGCATTGGTTTGCTCGGCTAGGATTCAGATCACGTATGATTGCTTCTCTCACTCAGGCTGTGATTCCGGATTTGACCTTGAAGCCTAAGGCAGCTGCCTGGCTGCGACGGTGTGAAAAAGAACTTCCCGACTTCGACGAAATCAACACAGTCTACGTGAAGCAAATTGTTGATTTACTTTCTAAGACGCTCGGCAAGAAATACACTTCTTAATTTAACGTGCAACCTTTTAATTTTATCCCAATAAAGCTGATGTAAAGTTGCATTTTATTTTAACATGATGCATTCATTCCAATCTGCATTTTATCATCATTTTGGGTAGTATTGCATCACTACAATGCCAGTAGTAAGTTTACTTGGCACGAATTTGGCAAGCCGTTTTGAATGCCAGAAATTGGCAAGCTTGGCCCGGAAATACTCCCCAGCTTGCCAAAATTTGGCAAGCTCATTAAGAGTGCCGACCAAAGCTTTCCAAATTTTGGCACTCAAAACGGCTTGCCAAATTTGTGGCAAGCAAACTTACCACTGGATTTGCAGTGATACTGGATACCGTATTCGACACCAGAACTTAATCAAACTTTGTTGGTTTTCACAAGGCAATCGCATGGGCTATTTTTACTCTTTGGCCACCTTGATTCTGGTTTTTGTAGCAGCTAAGGTCTTGATCAGATAAGGTCCTGTTTCTCGTTCTATCGTACTCTGATAGTGTGATGCAAGATAAGGCGATGTAATCACTTAAATAAACGTTGTTTGTCGTTGCTGGCTCAGTCACCCGCTGGTCGTCAAATGGCGCAATACTTGCCGACATAATTTGATCATCACAGCTGTTACTTCACAGCAAACCCAATGAGCAGTCGACTTGTAATAAGCAAGCTTGCCGTCCATGTTGACTCTCAGTGTGACTTCCACTTGTCATGGCAAAAATGCTATGTGCAGAAAATAACGTATTTACGGTCAATTGAAGCAGACTTTTTTCAAGGACAGTGACCGAGGGAGCAACCACTTTCGATGTTTGAGGACACCAGGCTTCTGAAAAGTTCAGAGATTTTGTGGAATGTCGAAAGATTTCGACCGATTTTACGCTTAAGGGGGGACCCTGGTGAAAAAATCGCCAAAATTGCCAAAAATAGTATTTTTAAAGTTTATAGATAAATATGTGCATAGAAGCTTTCAGATTCAACAGGTTTAACACCTTTAAGCTAAGTGGATAGTCTCTTTATCATTTGGACGGAAATAACATTGAGATCAGTTGTCGTTGGCTTCTACGCTCAACTTCACAGCTTTGCTCAGTCGACAAAAAATTTTGTCGTAGAAAGACTTCCTGCGTTCCTGGTTGACACCTACATGAGTCGTATTGCATGGACTCTATTCATTGATGACTTGTCGACAAATTTTAGTGACGGAATCTTGATATCAGCCCTACTTTTTTTAAAACACACCTGAAAGTTTGACAAAAGTGAAAAAATTCACTTTTTTTTATATGTTAAAATTTGAAAACTCATATCTCAGGGCAGAAGTTGAATTTGAAAATTCCGTCACTAAAGTCTCTTCAATACATCTTAAGGATAACCCAAAAACATTTTCAAGACTTTCCGTCCCACTGAAAGACACAGGAAGATTTTTCCCCAACGCTCTAAAAAACACTAAAAAGCCACTTTTCTCAGAGACCGTTCAACATTTTGGATTGAATTTTGTTTTGGGAACTCACCATAATGAACCTAATAATTAAGCAAAGTTTCAACTTTCTGGGATTATTTTGAAGCCTACTTGAAAGTTTCACCAGGGTCCCCCCTTAAAATTTCGTTGTTTTTTGCCTTTTTCGGAAAAAGATTTCAGGTTTCCAGAGATTTCGGTCGCTCAAGTGGACACATGATTTCGCGAGTGGGCGCCCCCTTGAAAATGAACGTACTTTTTACGTCCGTACTGGTGACCCAGAGAGTTTACACAGTTTGTGTGTTTCGTTTGAAGTCCTTACCATGGTCTTAACTCTGTACGGCACAGAGATCGGCGGTGCGCATGGAGTTTGACGTTAAATCCACTCACAGGAACGTGACATCAAGTTGAACGAATGTGACAAAAATGTCACGTTCTATGGAGCATTGTGTCACATTCGTTTGAATGTGAATAAGCTAATTTATAACCGATATACATCCAAAGAATGTGACATGAAACTCAAAGAAACGTGACATTTTGTCACATTTGTTTCAACGTGACGTAACGTTCCTGGAGAGCACCGAAAGCCAGAGTCCTTGACGATCAGCACCCCAACTTTGACATATTGTGAACAAACAAGTCATTACCGGCCTCCTGTTTACAATTTATTTGTATCCTTTGGAATACTATTTCGTACTTTAAAATGTTGTCCGAGAAACGACCTCAAAAAGTACATATTTTGAAACATAGTACAAACTCGTTTCATTATGGCATGTGGGAGGAAGGATGAACACATCGACGGCTCCTGAGAGAAATGTCATAATGAATTGTGCCGAATAGGGCACTTCGGCAGAAGAGCTAGAACGGAAACTGAGAAGAAATCAAGAAGAACAATGTATGCTAAATTTGTGGGAGTGAGCGTCTGCGTCGCCGGGCGTTTGTTCTTCTAGATTTCTTCTCTACTTCCGGCCCAGCTCTTCTCCGGAGTACCCTATTGCTGCGCGAGTGAAAACGAAAATATACTTGTACTAAATTAATACAATAAATTGAGTTCTACCTGGAACGCTTTATTGTGACATCAAAATTCTCAGATAAGCAAACTTCTTTGACGACGTGAAAGGCAACAAACTGCAGACGTTTATTCGGCTGCAGTGCTCGTCGAACGAAGGTACGCCTCTTGTCCATTCCAGCCACAACGCACGGCAATCTTGTAAGTTGTGTTCGGCTTCAGCTTGGTGATAGTGTGCACGTACCTGCGAATGGAAGACAGTGATTAACAAGGGTCCTAATTTCACTTCGATTTCACTGGAAAGTAACAAAATGCGAGAGAACTCTTGACCGGTGCAAGAAGACGCTCCACCAAGCTCAATTCATGCAAGTTTTCTCAGATGTTATATGAGTGAAAAACGAAAACTCATGAATTACTTCTTTGTGAAGCGTTTCAAGATGTTTCCTTACAGTTTACCTCTGACACTACTCTCAGTTACTCTAAGTACAATCTCAGTTGACAGTGAAGCTGACATAAGAAGAGTTCCCCACATCCACTACCTTTTTCAATCATCGTTCAAAATCAAATAGCCGAAAGGCATCGCGTTACGGTTATTCGCAAGAGGATTCTCCCAATAATGTATCTTTTGTTCTGTACACGTAAATGTTTATGTAGAATTTTGTACGTGCCACTTGCACGATTTTGTGCATGCGGGGAATTTGCATAATATTATGCGTGAAAATGCATAAATTCATGCAAATTCACGCACGCACGACGGCACACAAGTTTAAAATTATGCATCCCATTCTATTCGTGCACTGAGAAAACCTTACAAACTATTTTCAGCCTTACAAAGAAAAGTAGTTTGTATAACAAAGTATTTTGAGCATACGTAAGCTTACAAAGAAAATACTTCGTAATTTACGAACTATTTCTTCGTATAACAAAGTATTTTAGTTTGTTATATGTATGCTCAAAATACTTCGTAAGGTTTTAAGAGTGTGGCTGAGTGAAGAACAAGAAGAACCACAAAAGACTCCATTTAGGGCATTTAAAATGCATATATTCGCTCCGAATATGTTGCATTTGCTAGAAAATATTTTCTTTAACTTCTACCAAGCAAGGGGAATTAAATATTTGAAGTTCAAAGTGCAAAAAAGTACACTTTTGTGATTCTTCTTGTTCTTCACTCGGCCACGACTAGAATGGTCTATTGTACATAAACATTTAGTGTGTAGTTGGTTACTGAATATGCATTTATTTAGTACGCACACTGGCTTCTCTTCGGTGACCTCGATCTCCTCCCTTCGTGGTCGTCCCGCCTCATCACGTAGTGGGGTCACCAGCACCTCGAAGTGGCTCAGGTCAGCGTTAATGAAGTCGGGGAGCTGCCACTGAATGACCAAAGATCGCGGGTGTGTCTCCAAAAGCAGCAGGTTTTTCGGAGCTTGCGGTACTGCGGGCAGAAAAAAAAGAAAGGTATTGCCACCCATTTAGGGTTTCATCTCACTGGAAGTTCATCTCCAGGGAGGGATCTTGAAGCAGTGTTCACAGCAGAGTTCATCGACGTTACCCGAAACGTTAACGTCTGATTTGTTCATGAGGCGCAGAATGTTCCTCTGATTTTTTTCTAGTTGCGCCCCGCTGCACTTTTTTACTACCTTTTAAGGGGGCGTAGCGTCTTTTGCAAGTGTTTTGACGATTTTCGAACCTCCTGTTCAGACGTTAATAGAAAGATAAGTATGAATGCCAGAGGCAAACGGCAGGCACCATTTGAAAAATAAAAGTTTTTACAACATTTTCAAAAAAAAATATTGTGTTTTAGCATTGAATTAGGATGTTTTGTGTTCTATGCAAAAATGGTCTGCAAAATACATGGTTTCACTGCGCGCACGATTGCAGCCAAAGTTTTAACTTTTTACAATCGGTAAAATGCATCTGAAAAAGCATGAAATTGACCATAAAATGACCCTTGGGTTTAATATTGGGCCAGAAAAAATGTGGTTCGTTCGATCTTAAGTTGAAGATGAGCGTTTCAATAGTTTTTCTTGCCCAATATTGAAACCCAAGGGTCATTTTATGGGCAATTTCATGCTTTTTCAGATGCATTTTACCGATTGGTAAAAAGTTTAAAACTTTGGCTGCAATCGTGCGCGCAGTGACACCATGTAATTTTACAGACCATTTTTGCATAGACACAAACATCCTAATTCAATGCTAAAACAAAATATTTTTTTTTGAAAATGTTGTAAAAACTTTTATCTTTCAAATGGTGCCTGCCGTTTGCCTCTGGCATTCATACTTATCTTTCTATTAACGTCTGAACAGGAGGTTCGAAAATCGTCAAAACACTTGCAAAAGACGCTACTGCCCCCTAAGTGTTCTTTCTCTGAACGGTAAACGTATTTCCAAACAAAGTTGAACTTGACAATTTGGCATATCTATCCCTGTTTTGATAATATTATGCCCTAGATCAAAAACTTACATTTTTCTGTAGCTGGGTCATTGTACAGAAATGTTACAATTTGATGTCCCTAGCCCTTTGTAAAGAAACGGTGGTTCGTCCTAGAAAGAGGTGGAAAGTGTCACAAACCTCCAATTTCTGTAGCTCTCTTCACGGCTGATGGTGCACCAAGTCCATCGCCCAGATCGTTGACGGCTTGGACAACCACATTGTATTCAGTGTGAGGCTTCAAGCCACCCACTTGGTGGCAGACTAGATCCGGCCAGGCAGGACACACACTAGTAGGCGAAACTACGTCTTTGCGCTCTGACCGAGCATCCTGAAATCAGAGAAAATCAATTTAAGCAAGAGGGTGTGCACTCGTCTAACATGTGACCCACCTTCAGAATTGAGCAAAAACAGGCCGAAACAATCAACAGGTAAAATTCGGAGCGTTTCGGCCAACTTGCGTACTATTTAGGAGAGCGACCCGACTTACTAAGAGGCGGTGCATACCCCGCATACTGCATACGGGTTCTTTTTACTAACTGCGGTGTAATGACCTGACCTGACGCAGACAACACAAACAAAAGATTTGTCTGTAATGTAGAAAGGCTGCGTCCCCAACATTGGCCAAACTTCGTTTTTTTTTTTTTTGTTTTTTTTTGGCATTGTGGCAAAAAGGTTCGGAAAATTCTGTTAATTGTTTTGCCAGGATTCTCCGTAGCCCTCTTATCAATATTCTCCGTAGGACCGCACAGTCCTCCGTAGGACCTGGAAGACTATAAAGTCCTACGGAGATCACTGTAAGGTCCTACGGAGAATACTGGAAGAGCCTACGGTGAATATTGACAAGGGGGCTACGTAGAATTACCAAAAGCTGTTAACAGAATTTTCCGTAGCCTTTAGCCACAGTGGGGGGTGGGGGTACCTTAAAAGACATCTGAACAAGATTCGATTTTAAAACAAATGAGTTTCGGGGTTTTTAGATGAGCTTTAGTTTAATTTACTTCAACTGTTCGCTTCAAAATTTAGGTGCATTTTTGACTGATTGCTACATGCTTCATTTTACACGCCCAAAATTAGTGCATATTTTATTATTTACAGAATGGGAAATACAATGTGCTTACCAGCACAGTGACAACGTAGTGGCGAATCACACCTCTGGGTATGGCTGGAACTTTCCAGTGCGTCCAAAGGGTGGTCGCGTTCAGGCGGTACACGGCTAGCTCGCGAGGAGCATCAGGTACTGGACAAAACAGAGAGAGTACATCATGAGGTACCGTAGAACATCACAGCAAGGAGAAAATGTTCACCGTGCAACACTGATGTTGGAAAACACGTGTGTTGGGAGAAAAGCCAATGTTTGAGTAGCGAGGAGGCCTTCGGCCTATATGCTCATGCTCTCTTTCTCTCTTACCTGTGTTAGTTGTATTGAATAATAAAGTGGCCCACTTGTTGGAGTTACCTACAGCGTTGACGATGCTGACTCGCAGTTCATATGCCTTAAGAGATTCCAAGTCTCTATAATAGAGATTTATACATGAATTATTTATACTTTTTTTTTAAGCACGTCAGTGGCATTCAAACACTCTCAACACACAAAGGTAATGTTGCAACAAAGAAGCTCACCTTAGCATTAATACCATATTGTTGGTAGATCCAGATCGTTCGGGTACTGGTGTCAGTGCTCCAAGTGGCACAGCCGGTAAGAGTTGCCACCGGAAGTTGTTCGCTGGCCCGTTGAGAAGGGCGCAGACGAGCGGTGGCCGCCATCGCACGACTGCCGTTTCGTTCGTCACGAGCGCAGTTTGCAGGTCGGACACCACCGCATCAGGAACTGCACTGAGAAAACAAACGTGGTGCATTTCGCAAGAAGTGGTCAGACTAAATTCTTGTGGATTTTTTCAATGCATAATTATATTTTAGGTATGATGCACAGATTCGTGTAGGTGTTCATAATATCATGCATCTGTGCATTGTGAAACCAAACGTGGACAAGTCCACACTTCCTGGTGTGGAGTAAGTCACCTTACTTGGAAGTGCAGAGTATGCAGTCTCCACACTTCAAGTGTAGAGTAGCCCACAGAGCCCCTATCTCGTAGCATGGTGCAAACGTGGACAACTCCAGGTTTGAAGTTGGAGGCTGCAAGCTCTGCACTTCCAAGTGTGGAGACTGTAAATTCCATTCCTCCGCATTTCAAATGTAGAGTTCTCCACGTTTGGTTTGACAGTGTGTGCATTGTACGCGTGTTCCTTTCATAAAATGCCCAAGAATTATGCACGCCTTACGCACGTATATCTGTGCATGAATATTTAAGCATAAAAAGTTAACAAGAATTTAGAGCGATGCGCCTCTTGAAGCCTAACAGCGCTGATGATGGTGGTCAATGTTCTGGAGATTTGGCAGCGTCTACGGAGAATCTTGCCTTTAGTCAAAGTGGTTGCACCAATCGTCTCAGACTCCCCATCCCTTGACACCATGATGAGGTACGAAGCAAAAGGAACAAGGTCGAAGAGCACCACGGTTTGGCTGCGCACAATCAAGGTTCCCTTGGCGTGCTCGCAGGACTCGCTGGGGCACCCCAAAAGCGCCTCGCACTGTAAAAAAAGAGCCGTCCTCAGTTACAGAGGGGTAAAATTGCCAACATGTCATCTGCTCGTTGTTTTCCAGATCAGTGGAAACCTATTCGGTGGTTTCATTCACATACTTGATACATGACAAAGAATTCACCGTTGGGTGGGCCTGGCGAAGTCCACGACACGCGCAAACTTGTGGCTGTGATGTCACTAACCACAACATCGCTCAGTTGTCCTGAGAAACCAGAATTTAATGTAAGAGCTCGGTGGTCTATTAAGGTTATTCACAACTGTAAATCCCACATTCAAGAAAAATTCTGCCATCAAGTTAAGATAAACATGAAAACCCACAGTAAAGATGTGGAGTGCACTCCATGATGTCCCATGAAAATTTTCAAGATTCCTGAGAAAAAGGATATTGGGTAGGTAAGATTCAATAGCAGGTTTGAGTGTAGTGCAAAAGGTTTACTTGACAATGCTAGCACCTTAGAAGGGGCTACTTTCACTAAGAAAATTCGAATCGTCACTTGATGGCAATTTCAAGGCTAATTTCCTTACAGCAACGTCATCAAAACAATTGATGACATTGTTCTCACGCCCATGCAATAAGTATGGAAGCTTTGATGAAAATGTCTTCAATTTGTGATGAGATTGTCATCATTTGAAAGAGATGAAAATGTCATCCACGTTTTGGTCATGAACTGACAACAAATTTTCACCGTGTACTGCTGAAACCTTTCGGATATTCGTAAGGAAATTTTGGGGAAGCCAACATTAACATTCCTGTCTAAGCCTTCCCAACTCAGCAACTGTGAGTCTAAGGTCTCATAATAAATAACAAAAAAACGGCTGACTTGATTATTTTTGAAAGTGACGAATAACTTTTGGATTCACAGTAACCTAAAATGAGGATTTATGAGGGCACAACAATACTCACGTTCACCCTCCGTCCGAACAGAGATGTGCCCTACATTCGAGAAGCCCTCCATCTTCGTATCTAGGAGTAACACACTGCGAGAAAAGATCACAGTAAATCCTGTACTGATTACTCCAGACTTTTCCGTACTTTTTTAACAGGCAATACCGTCATTTTTTACAGGCAATGCCGTACTTTTTTACAGGGAACACCGTACTTTTTTTACAGGGAATCCCGTACTTTTCCCCCGGCAATACCGTACTTATGCCTATCAAAAACTGCTATTTTTTTTGTCGGTTGACCCTCTTTTTTAAGATTCTGATGTACGTAAACTGCTGAAGTCGGACTCCTGGACCCCCCTTCCGACCACTCGTTGAAAGGTCTTGACGAGACCTATCCAAAGGTGCAATAAAATTTTTCAGTCGGTCGACCCCCTTTTTTCAAGATCCTGATGTGGACAATTCTTGGAAGCGGCCTTTGTTGGGACCAGATCTGGTCTTTCTTACGGCATGGACTGTACGGAAGAACGGTAACTACTGTTAAAAGACTACGGAATATTTTGTAAAACAAGTACGGTAAATCCTGTAGACTGTACGGTGGATACTGGTTTTTGAAGTACGGTAAAGTTGGCAAAAAAATTATCCAGGATTTACCGTCATTTTTTCTCAGAGTGCACCCTGACGTGGTACGACGTGTTTGGCCGGAGCCCATCGACGGAACAGTCGTAAGTTTCGGATCCGTTTAGCTGACCAAGGCATCCAGGTGTCCACACCAATTTCTGCTCTTCCTGAGAAGGCGAAAATATCTGAGGTCAACTTTAAGCCAAAATGAGTCGGGCAGATCATTAGAACTTGTGTTCTTAATTCAATGAGTAACAGCTCGGGTATCGGTATATGAGTATCCTTCGCAACGCACTCCTTAGAGTGAACGCAACTACAATGCACATACACCTGGCTCGTTCTTGCCACGATGAGCGTCCAACTAACCTTGTAATGAAGCTCATAGAAGTGTACAGAACCTGTGCCTGCCATCAACATGGGATCAAGGGAAATATGCCCGGTGAAAGAAGAGTCCGTCACAGCCGATGTATTGACGCCGCCAATTAAATGACTCATCGCTGAAACAAGCGAGACGTCATCAAAATCATCTCCCGTTTACTAAGTCTTGCTGCCGCTTATCTCTTCTTTCTTTAAATTCTTTAAGTACGAAAACCAACAAACACGTTTTAACAAATTTGTTGGCAACTATTCAACCTATTGAGACTCCCTTAGAGGGCGGGGGGAGTCCCTCAACCCCGGGCGCGAGCTGGACTTGCTCAACGAGTCCAAGAGCGCCAGGAAGGTGATGTGCGGGGCGCGAGACTGCTTCGGGGCACAAGTCGAGGGGGCCACAGCGGGCCGCGGCACGGCGGGTTCCAGCGGAATCACCCGCGTCGGGGAAGTCGTGGGTTTACGGCGGCCACGCAAGCAGACTTGTACACCGTTAATGCGGTACAAGGCCCGGTGCACTAGGGGCGGCGGGAAGCTGCGCGGATCTCGACGATCGAAGCCGGGTTGGTCGCGGTCGTACGCACTGTCGTACGGGGCGTGCGTGTCCACTGGGCACGGCGTCAGCTTCCACGGCCTCGGGGCCGGAGCGCGGTCTCGGCGTCGCGGTGCGTCGCGGAACAAGACCCGGTTCACCGGGGGTCCGGGCAGCTCGCGGGCTTGCCCCGCGGGGCGGACGGATCGCCGAGGGGCGTTCGCGGCGGGCGCGGGTGGCGGCGTCGCAACGCGCTGCTTCACGGAGGCGCGGTCCTCTGGAGCAAACAAGCCAAGCGGGTCGCGGCTAGGCGGCGGCGGTTCAATCGGTCGGGTCGCGAGGCGAGCGCGGTGCTTTACGCCAGCACGGTGACGACGTCCACGTCGAGGTCGCGCCATGACGGATACTGAGGTCGGACGTCGCCGGCGAGGTGCAGGAGCCCGGAGCGGGCCATGGCGACAACAGGGCGACCGTCCGCCGGCGGCGGAACGCTGCAGCAGTAGTCTTCGGCTCGCAGGTAATCCAAAGGTAGCGGCGACAGCACTCGGACACTTGGTGGGGGCGGCTGGGCAATGCCCGCCAGCGACCTAGCTTCCCTCCTGCGCGGCGAGGACCGCCTGCACTGGAAGGATGCGCACAAAAATTGGGGTGGGGCGGCAGCTCGAAGCCGCCAGCGCCCGGGTTCTCCTCCGCCAGAAAACACAGAGAGAGGGTCTGATTCACAAGACAACTTTATTGAAAATGGGCACATCTTATAAGTGGTGTAGACCGTACAGCAGCACTCGAGAGGGAACGGATGCCCTAATGCCGTAGCGCCCTCTGGGCGGCATCCCCGCGAACCCGGCCCAGCAAAAGGCTCGCCTAGCGCAGCCAAGCGGCCGGTAGGACCTGACGGGAGTATTGCCGGCGCTACCCCGCGCGCGAGGGTGGAGGGATCCGTGTCACTATGCGTTGAGAAGCATGAAACACCCTCATTGCAACATTCAGAAACAATTATGAATTCTGTAGGCAACAAACGAGTTACATTCGAAGCCAGTCCCTACCTTCCAGATGCTGTGATTTGAGAAATAGTTGATGTTACCCCAGACAGAATCATACGTGCGACTTACGTTGGTGGCAGTGCGGAGGAACATATCCAGTGGAACATCCCTGCGGACAGATGCCGGTGAAGGGGTCGCAAACTTTCTGACCGCTGCATTGCCCACATGGCTCAGTGCAATTTGCTCCGTAACGTCCCGGACTGCACACTGAAACTCAGATACAGTGCATTTCAAACCACAAGAATTCTAACAGAGTTCATCTTTATAGCCGCAATGATGGTTACAGCACAGCTTCCCGTAGCCCAATGTTACACTTCATCGATGTGGGAAAAAACCGTAGAGGCCTGTGGCAAGGCAGATCTCGACGTCAGGTATCTGGACCATTTCAGGCACATGGGAACTTCTGGGTCAAAATCATTACTTTATATGTGATCCAGGAAAGGGAAGAGAAGAATAACTTGGCTTATCTCCAAATAGGGTATTTTAACGAATCCCTAGACCGGAAGTCAAAGAACAAATGTAAGAACCAAAACGGCTTCTGCGCATGCGCAGACGTCCCCTTCTCCACTCTGAGGCAGCGTCTGCGCAGAAGCCGTTTCAGTTCATACATTTGTTTTTTGACTTCCGGTCCAGGGATTCGTTAAAATACCCTATTTTCTTTTTCCTACATTATTGTGCTTTAGAAATGGAAATTGTTTGACTTGATTTCCAGCAGTTAAAGAGAAAATTCTCATGGAAAAAGAGTGTTACTCAACTTGATCCCTTTTACGCTCTCAATTTAACCGAAAATGGAAACAACTCAGCTGAAGTCGACCTGACTCCGATAGAAACATTGTCAATAGGAGATAGCTAACTTGAATTTATATGAATCTAGTGTAAAAATCACTGGTTTTCGGAAAAAGGGACTTCAGTCCACTTTTTGGTAAAAATGTTTTTATTGTTTTCCCAGACTGCTGGCGAGTCTTTACATAGAATGGTAAAAACCTACGATTCTAAGATAATTAGTTCGGAAGTTATAGCGTTGTACACACTAAATGTTTATGTACAATTTTGTACGTGGTGATGCATAATTTTAAACTTTTGTGCCGTCGTGCACAAAATTGTGCGTGAATTAGTATAAATTTATGCGTTTTCAAGCATAATATTATGCAAATTCCCCGCATGCACAAAATCGTGCAAGTGGCACGTTCAAAAATTTTACATAAACATTTAGTGTGTACCAAACGACTTAAGTCCACTCGTTTTCGGACAAAACAACTCAAGATCACTCGTTTTCTGACAAAACAGCATAAGTCCATCCGTTTTCTGACAAAAGCACTTAAGTCCACATGTTTTTTGACAAAAAAACCAGCGTGACATTTTCGGACCTAACAACTTAAATCCATCCGTTTTCTGACAAAACCACCTAAGTCCATATGGACTTAAGTCGTTAGGATCAGAAAATGGTGTGGACTTGTGCTGTTTTGTCAGAAAACGACTGGACTTAAGTTTTATGTCCGAAAACGAATGGACTTAAGTCGTTTTGTCAGATAACGGATGGACTTACGTCAAACTGTGATATTAAATTGTGAATTTTCGGCAAGGAATGCCATAACTGGTCATCGAAAAATTGGTATCGTTTTCTGAATACCACTTATCTTTTACCTGAAATTTTATGACCATATTTGTCATAACAAAGCTTTAAACTACTTAAAACTGTCTCCTGAAAAATTAGCAGAAATGGACTTGTGTCCCTTTGTCCGAAAAGCAGTGAAATAATCCAGTCGACTTACTCTACAAATTCAAAAGCGCACATTGTATGCTCTACTTATTGGAGCATGCCTGGAAGCACGCTTTAGCTAGCACATGCTTGCCAACCATGCACTTACAAGTGCATACATGCCATGTACACGCTAACTGAAGCATACATCTAGTGCATACGGGATAGAGAGTTTTCTGCATCAGGAAGCGTAGTAACCTAACACATTAAATGCATCTTCAACTTCTGATCACCAACTAGTCATTCATTTGTCAGTCATTCAGTTGTTTTTCCTCTCCATCTTCCACCTCCCCAATCAGATTAGTTTTTTACAAAATGTTTTAAAACAGCGTATATCGCTTAAAAAAAACTGGAAAAACATTCTTTGTTTAAAAACTTGTTAATGAACAACAGCGTTGTTAACGGTAGTCATTGTGGTTTTGTTGGAATATTAAAACCTTAACTTTTGAGAAGGGGCAAAATTACACGATGAAATTGCTCTTAAAGTAGAAAAAATCTCATTCAACGAACG